TTGGTCTAAAACTAGGGCGTCAGTCCTCGAAAGGGAGAATGTTTATGAGCATAAATTAATTTTCATGCATCACATTGGCCACATATGTTGTCGCATTTATGAGGTCCGAGATGATAATGACGGTCTAGCTGCTATCTAGCTGCATATTTATTGCATATTCATAAAAAAAGTCAAAATACGGTTTTTTATGGGAAAAGTGGAATATCGAATTATTAAATATTGGACATAATCTTATTTTTGGAAAATTTGTAAAAAATTATACTTTTCTATTATTTTTTATGCAAAAAAAGTGGAAATTTTATTGCTATGACTGGCACACCGCTACCCTATTGGCAGCTTTATCTAATCGGTTTCGATAAAGTTAGGTACTTAGTCTAAGGGTTACTTTTCTATTGATGGCCAAAAATGTAAATTTTAAATTGGGAATTTTAATACAAGCTCAACGAAATATAGCATTCCATTATATTTTGGACGCGAAATCAGGGTAAACAAAATTTTGTATTTTTGGAAAGAGTATCATGATTTTTTGTGAAAAATGTCCACAAAATTACTGATATGTTTGAATGAAATTTCGCTAGGATTTAAAAAATATTCTCGGCGAGGACAAAATACTGTTCTACCCTGCCTTCTTTGCCCCTGCTGTGTGCAACTTTTTCTGCTGATTTGATTAAAAACTTTTTAACAATCCGAACTATGACTTTAAATGGATTTTATGGCTTTTGATTTGAGATCCTGATTGGCATTGATATAAAATGTTGCTCGTGTATAATAAAGCATACAAAATGATTCTGAATGTATAATGTATGTTATAAGAAGATTAAATATGTATATAAATTTAGTACAATGTAAATAATATACAATATAAAATGCTTATTACTGCACTGCTATTATCCTTAAAAGCAATATAGACTTACGTTGTAAAAATTATAGTTCTTGTAAAGCCCTCGGTTTTCTTATCATCGAAATAATTATTGTAGGTCCAGTCTTTTCAATGAGTCTAAAGATGTGCTCAACTGTGTTTCGTAAGTCTAGACCTATATAAATTAAAATTATTTTTCCAATCAAATACAATACAGTGTTTTTATAACGCTGACTCATCTTTAAGTAAGTTCCTATAATTATTGTATGCTGTAAGCAGAGGAGTTCCTGTTTTCATAATTGGCAGTTATACAATATCCATGAAGTCGCCAATGGTATTGTGCCCTCTATAATTTGCGCACTTTCATTAAATTTTTCCCAGCTATTATATATACTATATATAAAATCCATTTTTTGTTTGTATTGGCTTTTGTTTTTCGCAGCCATGCCACGCCCCCATTGTCTGGCCGCATTAGCACTTGGTCCAGTGAACCAACAACACCAGCCAGGAGCAACAATAAAGCATTTCCCTTCCTGTACGCGAACTTAATGAAAATAAATCTGAAAAAATATAAACAAAGGAAAGGCGTCGAGGAAGTGAGGTGCAGCGCAGGGGTGGCTGCTCACAGGTGTATGGCTTAAAGTTGGGACTGAGCTTGGAGGATTTCTTGATGACGCATTCAACAGCTTGGAAGTAATAGACCCTAACAAACAAACCAAACAAAAAAAGCTTCCCGCCCGAAAGAAGGGCGCTGCCCTTAGAAATTGTAGTGCTAAATGAGAGCAGGGGAAGTACTAGAGAAAGGACGTCTGGAAATTTAAGGAGGACATAGAACTTAGCCAGCGAGTTTCTTTACAACTTGAGCACAATTACGAATTACTTGGAGCATATGATGTACGACTTTCTACCATCCCGAAATAGGAAGTAATTGTCTTGTTCACATGTTTAACGCCTAACTGTACTAATCAGGAATTAATTTACTGCGTTTTTATTCTATAATGTTTATATTTCTTGCCTTAATTGGACTTTATTATTATTATTATAATTTGTCCCAGCCTGCTTTCTTTAAAAAGCTGACTTAGAGATACAAATTTTTTGTCATCAGACCTACTTAATATGCCCCAGGGAAGCCACACATTTTAAATCAATTACGAAAATGCTACGCTCAATCTTTCAATCAATCAAAGTGAATTGGTTGGCTTGGCTTGGCTTGTTTTTTCCCGTTCACTTAATATCGAATGCCATCAATAACAATAATTTTCATAAATATGATAAGACATAAATCACAAAGTAGCAGGCGCCACAAAGTGCCTGGCCAAGAGTCTGAATTTTAGTCCTGCCGCCAGGACCCTTTGTCGGGGTCATCCCAACCCCACTGTCTGAAATGTCACTTGGTCATGCGAGGCACGCGCTCCTCTGAGAACAACAACAGCACAAAAAAAAAGACAAAAATAAAAGGCAAATGACTTTGAAAAGTCGAATATAGAATACCCTAGTATTTCTTTGAGCTTGTTAAATTAATTATTATGTTATATTTTCAACTTAACAGCTAACGAAGATTTATATTTAAGTTTGGATCTAGAAAAATTCGTTTATAAAAATTTCTCTTGGGAGATTCTTTAATGATGTGCAAGTATTCTAAAGGTTTTATTCTAATGTTTTAAATTACTAATGTTTGAATCTGACATACTAGTTTACATATGACCAAGTATTCCTGTCTTCAAACGAAATTTTTACAATACCCTTTGCTATGAGGGCATGAAAAGAGCTAGGCAAGGGCACCGCCCACTTAGAGGCCGGTGGGTGTTGGGACGGGAAGCTGGAGCTGCAGGACGCGGAAGGACGCGACAACGTCACGCGGCGTTGTCATGGCGCAATAAAAATAAAAATCTAATTAGTATGCCGTTGACAGTTTAATCGTGATTACGCTGGCAAAAATGTCAGCTAAGCTGAGAAGAGGCGGTGTGTGGTGGGTGTGAGCGGGGGCTTTCCGTGGGTCTTGGGTGGGGTGGATGTCTGTGGGGTACAGGCTAAGCGTCAACATCAACATGCCAACAGTTGATTCCTGGCTTTGTTGTTCTTGCTCTTGGACGTTGAGCTTGGCATTTCCGGCAGACGCCACATGCATCGCGTGCGTGTCACAACAACAAGTGCGAGTGTGTGTGTCGGGCGTATACATGTGTGAGTGTTGGTTAGCGGACGTGTGTTTGTAAATGTGAGTGTGTTATATGTGGGTGTCAAAAGTTTAGCACTGAAAATCGCCCGCCGGAATCCCGAATGGGTGGTAGCAAAACGCTAAACAAAAATATCAGAAATAATAAGCCATTTCGGGCGAAACGAGGCTCAAAACCGACGAGAGGCGATTCAGTAGTTCGTTGTTTAGGTTGAGTATTCAAAGAAAATGTACTTTATTTTTAATAAATTAAAGTGAAACGACTGATTCCAGTCATGTAAATAAAGTTTAGGCTCTTTCTAATAACTGAAATGCAAATTAAGCTCCTGCGAATAGTAGTAACAATAGATGTTCTCATCAGTCGCACCTCGCAGTTATATTTTTGGGCCTTGCACTTGTTTTAAAATGTGCTCCATGCCCAGACACTCTCGATACGAAGGCCCGCCTCAATGTTGGCCATTGAAATGCGTGTCTAGTGAAGGATCCGCGAGACGTGATTGGAAGTTTTTAGCAGGTTCTGTCGCCGTTTTCCCTTTGTTTCGTTGGAATACGAGTGGTTTTGAATCGGACTGGTGGGTGATTGCACGTCATTTTGGCCAAATGCCAGGCAGGAGCAGGAGTCGAGAGACTGGCCCAAATTAAAAGCAAACTGAAGTGTAGATCTGGCCCAGACCGGAACCGGAAGTTACTGTGATGAATTGCCCTGTATCAGCAGCTGCTTCCGTGCCTTTAAAGTCATCTCCCTAAAATGGCCAAAGTGACTTTCAAGTTCAGCAGCTTACAGGATGCTGCTAGAATTTTTCAGTTTTTAATATAAAATGCCGGGGATTTATGAGATCCTCTTTTACAACTTTATTATGCCTCAATCTCACAATGAATGGCTGGCAGAGGAGGGGACTCCGTCAAGCCAAAGAAATATGAAACGAAATTAAAGCTGCCGGAAATGCAGACAAAGCGACAACTCATTGCAGCAGCTATTTTGCCTGGGGTGTCAGACGGAGATGACTGGGAGAAAAAATCCAGAGAAAAGCCGGAAAACTGAAATGAAATCCGAATCATATTGCATTTGGTGGGGGAACGCGAAACGCGACAAACAAACAGTTGTATGTAATGGCAAGATGCAGCTCCAAAGCAAAAATATTAATTTAAAATCTCACAAAAAAAGCCGTTTTTGTAATGAATAATGGGTGGGACATTTTGACCGGCAGGAGAAACTAAAGAATTTCGTAATGTCATGAAATCGACAGCAAGGAAATGAACAATGGAAGTCAATCTGCCAGAGAGAACTAATTGGGTATAGTTAGAAAGCACAAAGAACTTGGATGCTCGAAGGTAACGTCGCTAACAAATGTCAGTCACCGTAGTAGTTTTAATTGAAATTGGAAATTATGCAGAACAAAAACCATTGCAAATAATGAGATTTTACTAATACTTTGGATCTACAATATCTGAGTGCTATTTGAATACGGGTAAGTTAAAACAATTCCTCAATTATAAAGCTAAAAATCATAACCATAATTTAGCAAGGATATGCAATGGGGAAATATCTACCTTCGTCCACTATTAATATATATTTTTTAAATAATGAAAAAGTCACAGGAAATAAAACGCTTTATTTTGAGCCAGTGATTGAGTTATATTTTGGTTGCTACTTTTTGGGGCTTAATTTGATTTGTCATGGCGTTTCACCCCAACAAAAACAAAAAAAGAAACACACGTCCGGAGTTGAAACGATTTTACAATGGTAACCGCAAACATAATTGAACCGCAAATGATGTGGGTAGAGCAGTCAACCTGTGGGTGGCAAAATACTCGCCCAGTTTAAAAACAACATTCCCCATGGCCAAAATATTCGATTAATAATTCAGGAAAACTGTGCGACATTTAAATTAAAGCTCGAATGTGGTCAAATAGTGAAAGGTGAATGGGGGCGGGACAATATTTGATTTTTCCTTTAAACAAACTCACCTGGCAAACTGGCTATGTAAACAGCGGTAATGATGAGGAGTCTTTGTAGTTTAATCGCTGGCTTCTGCATTTTGTTTTCCCTTTAGCCCACAAATATGATTGTTTATTGATAAATTAGTTAATGTTTTATGTCGTGCTGGCCTTCGAAAAACGATTTACGGACATATATGAGCAATATCCGCTATCCAGACCGCAGAAATCAATTTTTACATTCGCTTACTGGTTTTGTCATCCTTTTGTTTTGCCCAGCGCTCAGTATGTGCAATTTCCTTTATTTTTTCGTCGCTTGATTGGTTTTACTTTTTGCTCTATTTTGCGGTTGCATTTAATGCATTTTTCATTCGGCGCTTCTGCTTTCTTCGGTTTACCAGTCAGCCACAATTAGCAATCTGCACAGTGAGTCGCATTTGTATTCGGACAAGGACAGGTCCTGTGTCCCAGAACTACCTGAATGCCGCTACTTTTGCCTTGCATGTGAAATTGTGTAAATACGTTCGGCTTAGGGTTAGCTGCATTTCTCATTGAACTCGATTTGGCTATTTGCATTTTTCATATCCCTTCTGCCCTTTTTTGCATATTCATTTCCTGTTTTCCACAATTTTTCCACTTTGCTGCTATGTTTTTTATATGACTTCGATTCTCTCCCTGGCTTTCCTGCATGGGAATTTAAAATGTAGCTGGCTGATGATTGAACTGGAGTCTGGCTTTCGAATCAACCTGGAAAATGTATGAACAGAGAAGAGAAATGGGATTAAACTCAGTTGTAAGCTGAAGAATTTTTGAATTTATTATTGGCTTAATATGCTGCTACTCTTTTGCCAAATTACCTTCTTTACTTTTTAGATTTTACTTTTCATTGCTTTATTTTCTAACTAAATTAAAGACTTTGTACTTAAAAATGGTTTTCTTTTTTATGGACATAAATAAGATTATAATTATATTTAAGTTCAAATTTTCATTCTTCTTGAAAGCGCTGAGAAATCATTAAAGAATTTATATAAACAAATGTTATTGCCTTTCGTCGCTCGCTTATCCGCTTTCGTGACACTTTCCATTCTTGACAACTCCAATCATCATCAAATTCAATATCCCCGCCAGGATTTAGTGCCTCCGACTCGGAGAATCCTGCGGGTCTAAATCATTGACGGACGCTTTAAGCTGCATTGGATTTTGGAGTTTGGGGAAAACAAAACACACGCACAGTGCATTTTCCAACTGATTTGAAAATCCAAAGTTGCCCATTAGCAAACCAAATACGCGCTGTTGCCACCGCAAAAGGGGGCGTGGTACTGAGACTTTGGCGCCATACGAAAAGCCGACTGACTTTACATGGGAAATTGGCAAAAGCCAAGCCATGAAATTGTACAACACGATTTTCACATTTCGTACATGACACCATTTCGTTTTCGCTTGGCGAGTATGGGTACAGTGGCGTACATGTGTGTAAGGCGACTGGGTGGCCGGGTTTTCCGGGTTGCCTACTTGACATGCCTGTGTACATTGGGGAAAATTCACTTATGGAAATCGAAGATTTTCACTTCGCCCTCCATTCTTTTTCCGATTTTTCGAGGGAAGCGAGCGAGGACGTTGCGAAAACTAAACTGATATGAAGTATCAGCATTCAGTATTCAATGTAAATCCTTTAAGCTGCAAATGCGCCCGAAAGGATACTCCTTGCCACGTATTCCTGGCTGACTGACAGCTTGACTGCGGCTCTGAGTGGTGTTCCTGTCCCATATTTGGTGGGTTCTGCGGCGGAAAAGCGAAATGTGACCTGGATCTCGAGAGGGATGGGGATTTCCATACCCAACCAATCACCAGTCTGGATATGTGTGGCAAGCACAGGGAAAACTTAATACTCATCATCGGAAAAAGAAGCGATATTGTGCGCAAATACCGCAGTCTAATAAGCCGAACATTTCTGGCTGAGTCAGTGTTATTCGATATAAGTTGTCAATCTCTTTTTGTTGCTATTTCTTGAGCTTGGGAAATTATCTTTACAACAGAGATAAACGTATTTTGATTTGTTCATTTTAATATTAATATAAATCTTTGAAAAACTTTGATTTTTATGTCAAAAATCTTTAAAACTCGAAAACCTTACAGGAACTCTACAAAAGCACCAACACAACATCACAATAAAACACCTAAAAGTACAAAAATAATACAGCCAGTCCATGTTCCTACAATGTCATTCTGTTGCGGGAGGGTCTCAAACCAATATCCATTCAACAAGCGAACTGAATACGGATATCTCGTTAGGGGAGGGAACAGGGTATCGAACTAGCAACGAGTCAATCTATGGGCCATCCGATCGCCTGCAGGTGGTCCTCCTGGATTACAAGCAGTTCAAGGCCGCTAGGACTATCCAGCGTTATGTGAGGGGATATTTGACCAGAAAGCACATCAAAAGGGAAAAATGGGCAGTCAGCACTATAAGCAAGTGGTGGCGCAGATTCTGGGTCCAGCGCTCGATGTTTTCCCGTATCCAGCAGTTGCTACAGCAACGTATCATACAGTATCACAACAATATGGCCACCAAGATCCAGGCTCTCTTCCGCGGCTGGATGACCCGCCAGTACTTCCAGGACTTCCAAGGCATGAAGTCTCTGCGGATGCAGTACGCCGAGGACATGCTTAGCTTACTTTACAGAAAGCTCTACTGGATGCGGAAGGATCATTTGTTACCAGGAATCTATGCGCTTCGCGAATCTGAGTAAGCAGTTCGCAAATTTGTAGATATAATCCTATTACCTTCTTTTTAATATGAAATTACTACAATTTCAAGTCATTGTGAGTACGAATAATTATTATGATTTCCCATCCAGCTTGCTATTGAAAATTGAGAACCTCTCTGACACCTTTGGATTCCGTTTCCATAATGGACGTGTCCGAGCTACCATCGCTCAGAAGCGAACTTTTATCAACGATCGGCGAGTGGAGTTCCAGAAGAGCTCTATTTATTCTTCAGTGCCATATCCAGGGCCTTATTTAGATGGCATTCCCACTTTCGATTTAAACTTGCCTAAAAACTTGAACCCGCGATTGCAGCGGATAGTGCTGATGTATGACAAGTCCATGAGAGATAAATACGTGAAGAAGGTTTATATGAACTTTTCAACCAGTATGTTGTCCTTTTTTCATTATTTAAAAATGGGATATTAACACCAACATTTAACCACAGAACGTCGCATTAACATGAATGTCCTACGTGAAAATAAGCGCACTCGCTTCTGCAAGGACTTCGCAAAGCGAGTTATGGCAAATAAAGACGGTCGCCGAAAACGAACTGAGAACATTATTCAGGTGTTCCTCGACGCTCTTCTAGCGGCCGCAGATGAATACAATTGCTTCTGCAAGCCCCAGGTCACAGATGATAGTTTGTGCCAATAGGTTGTCTCAGCATTGGACATCTTATTATAGTGCTGAGATAACCTATTTTCACAACCAATCTCTTATATATTCCCAGTGTTACGAGATGTGAATCTGTCTTAATTATAATTGAAAACCGAAACTCGTTGATTGTGTGATTTTTTAAACAATTTTTAATAATATGATTATTCAAATTACTGCATTGTTTGGACCAATAAAATGTTTAATTTACGAATTTTATTAGTATATTTCCCTGTAACTTCTGAGACAATAATTTGTGGCTGATTTACATACTTGTGTAGAAGCTTGCAGATAAAAAGTCTCCTTGCATCCATTCAGATGTATTTGGAACATCTGTCCCACCTTCCTCTTGACCATTCAAAGTGCCCCAGGGAAACTGGTAGAAGATTTCCATTCCTTACTGTCATCAGTCACAAAATTTCAGAAATTCCTCGACATAAAACAGATTTTGTCCCTCAACTGAAGACGAATAAAGCAGAGCGCTTAAACTTTTTTAATGTCAAGGCAACAAGAATTGAAGAAAAACGAATTCCGGCGTCCTTTGTGTGGCTGACTGTGCGTTTTTAGCAGCTCGCAATTTATTTGCAAACATTTATTATAGTTACTTTTGTTTTATTCGCTTTGAGTACTTTTGCGTGTTGCGCGATGCTGATGGAGCAGGAGAAAAGTAGGGGTCACTTTTTTATGTTGCATTGTTTTATGGTCGCGTCGTGGTTGGTAATGAAATGCCCCAACCATAAAGAACCTGAAAAAGCAGCCCAAGGTTGATAAGTCCTTCCAGAATCGCCAGGGACTCGAAGCTAGGAAACAAATTAGTTTAAAGATAAGTGGGTTACACAATTTCGAGTAGCATACTTTGTGGCATTAAGTGGCTGTCTTGATTAGTCCGTGCAGATGACTGAATGACTGAATGGCTCAGTTGGCCAGGACGAGAGGGCAAATACAATCAAGCATCGTCTGCAGACTGCACGTGAAAATGTTTAACAGCTGTCGATAGCAGGTAGAGAGTTAAGGGCAAATAGCATAAGGCAAACATCCTGGCCAGAATCAGCAGGAGCCTCAGAACAGGACTCAGCTTAAAGGACCTTAAGGCATTCCCCCATTGCGCCTTTGGCCAAGTGCACTGTAAATACCAAAGCAATTTTCACTGCAAAATTAACAAGCGCCAAACCACAACGTAAGCCCGAGGGGCTGAAGTGGATTGGCTTGGCTCGAATGCAGTTGGCCAAGATGCCTGCCATACGTCCATTTACCACTAAGTCGAGGCGCCAGTACATAATGAATTTTCCCAGCTTCTCCCCCTTCCCATCTTTTGCTCGCTTTTTCTGGCTCCGGCTCCTCGGACACACGAATGCAATTAAGCTGCCCAGCTGGGGGAAAAAATCGAAGGTTTACGGGACTTCGTTTCAGTTCTCTGTTGGATCATCAATTGACGTGAAGAAACCGACTCCTGCTTAGTCACTTTAGTTTTAAGATGTACTTAAGTGAAAATGTATTTCTGGTAGTTCGGATGGGTAATACTTTCAATATCTTTAAATTAAATTTAACTCATCCCCTAAGCTTTTCTTTATATTTATAACAATGTAAGTATTAAGAGCCAATGATTAGCCTTTATAATAATAAGCTGCTTACAATATCATAAAGCAGTAAATGTTTCTATGGTTATCCTTCGCGTGGGTTAACAATTTGCAATAATCTTCCTATTAGCTTCTTGCACAACCACTTGGCCCTTGACCTCACTAAAGACTTTCAATTTTCATTTACTTAAGCATTTTGCTTCTTAACTGACCATTATGCGAGATCACAAAAGGATTCCAATTAAAGGCCTTAACCCCAATCTTAATTATGCAAAAAATGAGGCCATGTGCGAAAATCACCAAATGACCAAGATGGAGATAAACCCACTGCCGACCCGATTGGACAATAAACTAACACCAAACTGCTGAGCGCCACCAAATGCTTGGGTCATCAAAATGTGTCAGGCCGGTCCATGCAAATTCCAAACTTAATCATGGCAAATTATATTACGAGAGTCCTTCCTTCCCACAAACCATCCTAACCCTTTGACCCTGGCGAAATGTCCGTTTATCAAACGACCCGCCCAACAACAGCTGTTGGCTGCAGAATAGTTTCCTTACACTTGGGTTGGGTTCATTCGCTCATGGCTGTCAAATGAGATTAAAATAAGCTCTTCCGTCAATCGACATCATCGACTTGGACTGTGGCTCCATTCCCCACATGACAATGGCAGGGTTCCCAGTCCCCAGATCCCCCGTATCCCATACCCAAAAGAGCCACCCATCGAACAATATAATGGGCCAAGCGAATTTATAGCAATTGTGCACTAAAAGGGTTTTATCCACGCACAACAGCTTGACCAATAAAGCAACTAAGCGCATTTGTGCACCACTTCACAGGACCCGGATCGTGCCTCATATATAGTATAGTATCGGTTTGTGGGGGCGGGGCAATCGGCCCTGAGCTCTGAGTGCCAGTTTATTGCCAAATTGAGTCCTCGGCGACAAAGCGTCGAGTGTAGGGAGCGTTGTCAACAACAGCTGCACAATTGAGATAAACTTCAATTTTCGTAAATTGTTTAGTTTATTGAAAAATCTGCGACATGTGAAGACTGCCAGCGGATGTCTGTGTGTGTATGTTTGTGCCCTGTGTGTTTGTGGCACATTAAGCGCTCTGAATTTTAATTCAATTTAACTTTAGTTTCAGTTTTGCAGCTTGCGGATAGTGGAGACAGCCATTTATTGGCACATTTTATTTTACGAATTTATTGGATTTGATGGGGCCAAACTGAAATGAACTGGACTGTACTCGAGTCGCTGGCAACTGGCAGCTGTGGAAAATTGAACACTAACTGTCCATGGAAATGGGATGGGATTCGGTTAAAATCCTGTAAAAAGCACTGAAATAAATATAAGATAAATCGCATAGTGCTTTTATCTAAACTATTAGGTAAGGGAATAGGTAACAAGGTCTTCATAAAAATCAATAAATAAAATTAACAGTTGGAATTTATGAGAGAAATGTGTCCTTTTTAATATCCAAATATACAGATATATATATATATATACCAGTCAAAACAAATAAAAACTATTCTCAAAACAATCCGCAAGAGTAGCATTGATGCACCATCGTACTTTTCCCTACAACCATCGACCTCTGTTCCATTTGCGCATTCGAAAACAGAGCTCAGATCGAAGTTTTTCCTCCTAAAGCTAACAAATATACATTCCTCTTATCGAAGGACCCAAAGGTCTACCTAAGGCTTTCACATTCGACTGGCAAGGCGCAGACACAATATCCAAATGCCCCATCCAATCCCTTTGCCATATTCTCGCATTCACGTACTCGCATTTCCCTCGTGAAAAGCGATGACTGTGTGTGCTAAAATTATGCGCATGTCGTTGGCATATTCCTTCTCCGCCCAGCACGATTTTCAATTCAAATGTTTTTCTTTTCGGGGATTCGATTTCGGCGGCAGAAGGTGAAAGATGCGGTTACACGGAACGGGGCTGGCGAAAACTTTTCGCATAAAATAAGGCAAGATAAATTGTTAATGCGTCTGTGGGGAAGCGATTAGCGGCAAATGTGCCGAGTTTATGCCGGAGTTCGTTTTGAAACCCACTTTTTGCGAGCAGTGCAATTTAAATATTATTTTCCAGCTCCTTAAAGTCAAATTGAAGGTACTTCCATTTCAAGCAGAAGCATTTTCCAAATCAACTGATGTCTGGCAGGCACAAAATAAGAAATATTTATATACGAGTATAAGAAAATCAAGCAACAAAAGGTGAAGCCAGACTCTCGTTGCCATTGGCAATTTATTTCTAACAGCCGAGAAACTCCAATTCAGGGATTTTGTCCTTGGCCAAGGCAATTCCTCACAGCCAGGATGTGGAGGCACTTCAGAACGCATTCAGGTGGGCAATTGGCAAATGCAACAGCCACTGCAGCTCATGATAAATCGTTATTTATAATTTGTATTGTAAACGGAGAAATTTGTTTTTCCCTCTGTTGCCCGGACTAAAGTGGAAGTTCGAAGGGATTGCCTGAAATAAGAGCGAAAAAGGGTATTTGGACATGTGGGGAGGGTATACTGGATAGCAGAAGTTTGATAAGTTTTTTATTAATGTGCCAGCCAAATATAAAATCTGTGGAATAGTGTATGTATACTATTGGTATATATTTTATCTTTACAAAACATGATCTATGCAGCTTCTGTTTTATTTTGGAAGAAAAATCGCAAACAATATAAAAAATAAACTTGTTTGTATGCAAACAGCATTTTTTCTAGTAAAACAATTTTACCACAAGAGAAACACGTGCAAAATTGTTAGGTAACTGGAGAGGTATGTAACTCAATTTGAATGGTACTAAACATTTCAGGATAATTAAATATTTTAGCCACTCTTCCTTTGCCGCAGCGATATTAATTTGGGTTTGAAAGTTTGCGCAGTTGCCCAGATAAACTATCTCGTATTACCATATTCATTTGTTCGCCAGGCTAATACAAAATACCAAAAAATAAAGAATGTTTAGCTTATAGTTTGCACCAACTGTAGCCGAAAGCAGGACTCATCTCTGACCCACAGTCCTCACCAAAAAGGAGATAAATAAATGCATCTGTCAGTAGCAGCAGAGTTGCACGCCAACTGTCAGCGTCGGAATGCCAGTGACAAGTTTTTGTGGAGCCGACAGTGGCAGGAATTCTCAGTGGGCAGGACTTGAGAAGGTCTCGGCAACTGTTGCCCACTTCTGTGCGCTTCACTTCCTCCCAGAGTGATCCTGCCGAGCCCCTCTGATTCACCTGCCTGCAGAATTACCTGGCTAAAGTTGCGTAACGAATCAGGCGTAAAATACAGACGTTGGAAGACAATGAAAAGTAGTCGCCGCCACTCAACTGACAGATATTATTATTCATCTTCCCACTCTGGCTGAAATCTGTTGCCGACTGGTCAATACGTTTAAAGTTTCCCATATAACATGAGGTATATAACCGTTTTTCTGATGGCTTATTAAGAGTATAAATTCTTTCCAAAAAATAAAAAGCTTCGTAGCTTACAAATACGATTTCTGAATATTTGTAAAACTTTTTAAAGTAACATTTAT